AAATATATCGCACAACAAAAAGTTGTTATCGTGACAGGCCTAATTGTCAGCTAAGTCCACTTCAACGGATATCCCGTGCTTAGGGAGTAGGGAGCAGTGAACACTGCATAGGGACCCTGTGAATCGGAACGCACTGTAATGTTCCCAGGTCCAGAAACGTAGTAAGGACATCGGTAAAACAGTCCATGTGACATCAGTGGCTCAACGTTTTGCGAAGCTACGAGAATACTTTTATTTAAAGAAAACAAAAATAACAATTGTTTCAACAATTCTTCTCCCCCGAGTTACATCTTCCGCCATTTTAGAGAGTATCACAATGCATACGCACGCTTTCTTTTACCGATGTCCTTACTACCTTTCTGGACCTGGGAACATTACAGTTGCATTGCTGTCTATGCAGGGTCGGAGAGCGCTCACATTTCATCAAAAATATCTTAATTTGTGTTCCAAAAGTCTTACGGGTTTGGAACGACATGAGGGTGAGTAATTAATGAGAGAATTTTCATTTTGGGGTGAACTAACCCTTTAAGATTCTTTTTAAAAACGACTCGTTTTCATGACTCTGAGTCGACTCTTTCTTTTGAAAGACAATAACTTTATACACAGTGCACTTTTAGATTTAAAACTTTGCAGGATGTTTTCATTCACATAGAACTGTGTTACACACTGCATGAAAGGTAATTTTCAAAAATCCATAATAGGGGCACTTTAAAAAAAGCATTGTGTAATCTAGTCAAACTGTCTTTGCTCTCAGAATGACCTCAGGGGAAGAGAAAGACCACACAGTCACTCTGTAGCAGAGCCACAGCCAGAGGCTTCGTTGGTGGATGACTGCGAGAGGCTGGGCACTCTTTTCGGGGAGCTCAATAAGTGTTTGAGGGGCATTGGTTTCACCCAGCTTTACTTCGGAGAGAAAATCGTGGAGCCTGTGGTCGTGCTGGTGTTTTGGATGCTGCTCTGGTTCCTGGGTATCCAAGCCCTCGGTCTTGTGGGAACTCTATGCATTATTATCATTTATATCCAGAAATAACAGATGTGAAGACAGGCAGACACATGAAGGTTCATTTGCCACCCACAGCCAGTGCCAGTGAAAGAGAGGAGAGACTCCTTTCTATAAAAGATGAGCTTTGTGAATGTCATTTGAAAGTTTTACCTGATCCGTATATTTGGGTCTGTGTCATTTGCCTTCTTTTTATGTGGGTACCTAACAAGAGGGTGAGTTAATGAAGATAATCAGAGGATTTACTTTAACTACTGGAATGATTCCTCCAGCCTATGTGAACTGTGTGTTAGCTGTGAAAGGTACTTTTGAAAAGCATGCTTGCCTTCAATATTTGCATTGACAAAATGGGTGCATATTGATATGCTGACTATCAAAGGATAACCAGATTCTAATGACAGCTGTACATATCAGTTATACGGTCATTACCGTTGTTGAATGTATTACTCCTATTCGCCCAGGTCTTGCATTCTCCTCACAATTGCACTAGAGGGCAACCTTCCTCATTTTCCCCTAAACATGTCTAGGGAAATATACCAGGGAATAATAATCATTCTGTGTTAAAACTTCAATGTGTTAATACTACTGCATGTGAATGTTTTGGGGCTGCTGGGATAACTTTGAAAGTATGAATTAAATAAAATGCTCTAATAGTCTGAGCAGAGGAAGAAACTAAAATCAAACCTTTTATGATAAAAGACCTACATTATGCGCTGTAAATTCCTATTTGGTATTTTTATTAGTTGATTTTACTGTAATCTGCTTATGTTGTCTGTTCTTTTCAAAGATTCATGTTGCAATATCAGCATCAATGAAATCAAAGGATAATTTCATAACGGAAATATTTAGTATGCAAATTTTGCTACAGCAGAATATGTTGTATGACCCATATTCAGGATCAGAAGTTTGAAAAGGCCTGTTTTTATTGCACTTAAGCTTTTTCTTTATGAATTATTATATTTGAAAATTATTGAACGAACTCTAACTTTTTAAGCAAGGTTAAGCTGCTCTTTATGTAACTGTGAATATCTTTGCAAGATGGCATCACTTCATATTCATGAAAATCATGTTTGATTTGATTATTTTTGGTACTGATTTAAAAACTTTATTTGGTATGTAATACTCCAATTCATAATTCATAATTGCGGATACAATGCCAAAACTTTGCTTTTGCTTTTACGTTTATGTTTCTTTTCAGTGTTAATTAGCATCTTCTGTGCCATAATTTCATTTGAACCAACATATCATTTTCTATATGCCACAATGCTGTATTTTTGGTGGGTTGTTAGCACTTTGATTGATTAATTTCTTTTGAAAGAGTTTATATTTTAAATTATTCTGCAATGTAATTGAACTTTAAAACTGGGTAATCATAATAAAAACTATCATTATTTTAAATAATTTTTTGTAATACAGTCCAATTTTTGCCACAGAGTTCCATCAAATTAATCTGGGTTGTGTTTCCCAAAAGCACTGTAAGCCTATAGATCATAATCATATCTATGATCTACTTTAAAAAATGCTTTTGGGAAATGCAGCCCTGGCAAGGGGTTACCAATAATTGTCTTAGAAAATGTAGAACATCATATGCAGTATCTTTGAAAGTATTTCCTGTTTAACCCAAAGTAAAATGTGAAGAAGACATGCATAGAAATGCTTAAATCCTTAATAATCTTAATATATATTTACTATATTAAAAAGTTACAGTGTTACTTCAGTAAAAGAAAGAGAGGTGAGAGAGAGAGAGGAGAGAGAGATTGCTTCATCCACACAATACCAGAGTATAAAAACGAGCACCAGAGACTCTCTGCCTCTTTTTGCATTCATCACAGCAATACGACTACATTGGGAAATGGCCACTGCAGGAAAGGTTTGTAAACTTGTCTTTTGGTCTCTTTTCATTTGTGCTGCGGAGCAGTTAATGCATTTTTAATACGGCTCCAGTCCCTTTATATATTTAAGCTTATTTCAATTGATCTATTGATGAGGAACAGTTTACAGTGCAAAGACATCTTAAAAATAAGATTCTATCTGAGCAATATAATACTCATCTAATGATCACAATGAGAATCTCATAAGAATGTTATGATGCTTTAAGCCATCCAGTATAACTTATGCTTAAAAATATAAGCTAGAAAACTTTGCTTGCTTAAGAAAAATATGCAAGATAAATGTCTTGTATCAAATGTGATTGCAATTATTGCAATGCACAATTGACTTGCTGCACTTCTAATTATAATGCAATATGTCAAAAACTACTGTGTATATAAAGGCTATAATATATATATATAATATACAAAGACAATATAAAGAAGTCCACATGTCAGGTAAAAATGAAGTGACAATTGTATTTTTCCTGTTGTTTTTATTGGTCATTATGCCAGTTTACTGCCAAATGGAAACTATTAAACTACGCTACAACTACAAAAAATGCGCTCTGGCAATTTCATCGGGTTAATATTTACCTTTGATTGTGAAATCACAGATATTTGTGGCTCTAAAAACAGATGTTTAATGTTTCCATTGGCTTAAGCCAAACAGCTGGACAACCTCCAATTACGGTTAGAGAGCGTAGATCATGCGACCGCTCAAGCACAGTGGTTATATATACATTTGTAGTCAACCATTAAATATCTATAAAACATACTGAACCAAGTTCTTCTGTGTGCTAAAGGTGATTAAATGTCGGGCTGCTGTTGCCTGGGAGCCCAATGTGCCTCTGATGATGGAGGAAATAGAAGTCGCCCCACCTCAGGAAGGAGAAATACGCATTAAGGTGGGAGATGTCCCATGAAAGTTGTCAAATTGCATTGATATTGTTAACCATTATTGGTTAACATGTACTGTATTTCTCCTGTTTTTAAGGTTGTAGCCACAGGTGTTTGTCACACCGACCTTTACCACCTGTTTGAAGGGAAGGACAAGCGGGGTTTTCCCACTGTCCTGGGACATGAGGGCGCTGGTGTGGTGGAGAGTGTGGGACCTGGAGTCACTGATTTCAAACCAGGTCACAAAATAAAACTACATATTCATACGCATACGGATAGTTCACTCAAAAATGAAAATTCCATCATCAATTGCTCACACTCATGTCTTCTGAATTGAATCTTTTCATGAATCTTGTTATCTGGTTACCTAACTGATTTGTTCATGAACGAAACACTATGTTAAAAATAAGTCTATGTATTCTGGTGAACAGGTGATAAGGTCATTCCACTCTTCCTCTCTCAGTGTGGAGAATGCAAGTTCTGCAAGTGTCCAAAAACAAACCTGTGTGACTGCAGCTGGTAAGAAATGCGAACAACAGAGCAACTTTTCACATTATATGTAACCCTGGACCACAAAACCATGCATAAGTTGCACACAGGTATATTTGTAGCAATAGCCAACAATACATTGTATGGGTCAAAATGATTGATTTTTCTTTTATGCCAAAAATCATTAGGATTTTAAGTAAAGATCATGTTCCATGAAGATATTTTGTAAATTTCCTACCATAAATATATCAAAACGTATTGATTAGATAGATTTGATTTTTGATTAGTAATATGCATTGTTAAGGACTTTATTTGGACAACTTTAAAGGCAATTTTTTTCGATATTTAGATTTTTTTGCACCCTCAGATTCCAGATTTCCAAATAGTTGTATCTCGGCCAAATATTGTCCTTAACAAACCATACATTAATGAAAAGCTTATTTATTCAGCTTTCAGATGATGTATAAATCTCAATTTCAAAAAATTGACCTTTATGACTGATTTTGTGGTCCAGGGTCACAAATTTCATCCACTTGCTTTTTGGGAATGTATCTTTTTTTTCTGGCAGGTCAAGTAAATATTATGACATTATGTCTGATCCTACGACACGTTTCACTTGCCGTGGTCGGCCCATTCTGCAGTTCATGGGCACCAGTACCTTCTCTGAGTACACCGTCATCAACCAGATTGCTGTGGCCAAGATTCATGATGATGCCCCACTCCACCGCGTGTGTCTGCTTGGCTGCGGCATCTCTACCGGTTATGGAGCTGCTGTCAACACAGCTGGGGTGTGTATAGATGTTGTGTGCACTCAAGAAGTTTTCTGGACACTTAAGCCACATTTGAATGAATGTTTTTGCTTCATATAACAAAATGTTGAAACAAGGGCCATTCATTCTGAAGAAAGAGAGCACAAGGACACTTTAAGAAAAACATCTGACTAAATTAAAGGTTAAAAGTTTATCTCAGCTGTGCTATACAACCGATAAATAAACAAAAAGTTAATATTGGGTAACTTACATTTTAAACAAGATTAAAATATTTACTTTAGACTTTAAGTTCGTATTTCAATAATTTTACAACACATTCCAATATTTACAGTGCTCTGATGTCAGTTAATGGTCACAAAACATGCAGTTAAACAAATGAAATATTAAATTTTTTAGTAAGTGTTTTATTTTGATTGTTTTAATCATTATTATTTTAATTGTTATGATTTAATAAATTATTAGCTTATCATTAACTCACAAACCCCCTGCAGTTCACTCACTAACCCCCAGACACTCGCAAACCCCAATGTGTTTTATCGAATGAATCAGTGCGTTCAAACAATTTGGTTGAGTGAATAATTCAATGGCTCATTTATAGAAGTTTCTCATTTCCCATTATAAAAGTCTCCTTTCAAAGGTAGTGGCTTCAGTAGGTCGCATATTTTGGACTCATATGTAATTGAAGCTGTTCCATTTCAGAAAAGCAACCATTATATTCAAGAGTAAGAAATTACATTAATTACATTGATTAAGCCTCACAAGAAAAAAACAGCTGCACAGTTGGAACACTGCTCTACCAATTAGATTTGAGGATTTGAACTAACTGTTATACTGTTATATAAAAGAATTTGGACACTTTGTGTGTGTGTTTGTGTGTGTATATATATATATATATATATATATAATATATATAATATGCAAAAGAAATTGCAAAAAAAAAATCATAATCATGCAAAGAAATTCATGCATTTTTGTGTGACTAAATGTCCAAATGGTTTTTGTGGCTTGAAAGGTGAATGTTAAGATGTT